AAGGTGAGCATCAGAGGTGATAGTATGGACAGAAGATAGACGTAAGTCTTCAGCAGATTGTAAGGGCCTAGATGTGTATAAGGGAGGATAGATAGGTGGGAGCAGCATTATGTAGAGATTTGAAAGCAAGAACCAGAATTTTAAATTGAGCTCTATATTTTATCGGAAGCCAATGTAGGGACTGACAGAAGGGTGAGGGTAATAAAAGGAAGAAATACAAACAATTGTACAGCGCATAGAACGATATGGAATATATTATACAGTTGCAAGAAAAAGTATGTGAACCCTTTGGAATGATATGGATTTCTGCACAAATTGGTCATAAAATGTGATCTGATCATCATCTAAGTCACAACAATAGACAATCACAGTCTGCTTAAACTAATAACACACAAAGAATGAAATGTTGCCATGTTTTTATTGAACACACCATGTAAACATTCACAGTGCAGGTGGAAAAAATATGTGAACCCCTAGACTAATGACATCTCCAAGAGCTCTGCCCTATAAAAAACACACACCAGTTCTGGGTTTGCTTTTCACAAGAAGCATTGCCTGATGTGAATGATGCCTCACACAAAAGAGCTCTCAGAAGACCTACGATTAAGAATTGTTGACTTGCATAAAGCTGGAAAGGGTTATAAAAGTATCTCCAAAAGCCTTGCTGTTCATCAGTCCATGGTAAGACAAATTGTCTATAAATGGAGAAAGTTCAGCACTGCTGCTACTCTCCTTAGGAGTGGCCGTCCTGTAAAGATGACTGCAAGAGCACAGCGCAGACTGCTCAATGAGGTGAAGAAGAATCCTAGAGTGTCAGCTAAAGACTTACAAAAGTCAATGGCAAATGCTAACATCCCTGTTAGCGAATCTACAATACGTAAAACACTAAACAAGAATGGATTTCATGGGAGGATACCACAGAGGAAGCCACTGCTGTCCAAACAAAACATTGCTGCACGTTTACAGTTTGCACAAGAGCACCTGGATGTTCTACAGCAGTATTGGCAAAATATTCTGTGGACCGATGAAACCAAAGTTGAGTTGTTTGTAAGAAACACAAAACACTATGTGTGGCAAAAAAAAGGCACAGCACACCAATATCAAAACCTCATCCCAACTGTGAAGTATGGTGGTGGGGGCATCATGGTTCGGGGCTGCTATGCTGCGTCAGGGCCTGGACGGATTGCTATCATAGTTACATAGCTGAAAAGAGACTTGCGTCCATCAAGTTCAGAAAAATGAATTCCCAAATTTATCAAGACATTTTGCAGGAGAACCTAAGGCCATCTGTCTACCAGCTGACGCTCAACAGAAGATGGGTGTTGCAACAGGACTATGACCCAAAGCATAGAAGTAAATCAACAACAGAATGGCTTAAACAGAAGAAAATACGGCTTCTGAAGTGGCCCAGTCAGAGTCCTGACCTCAACCCGATTGAGATGCTGTGGCATGACCTCAAGAGAGCGATTCACACCAGACATCCCAAGAATATTGCTGAACTGAAACAGTTCTGTAAAAAGGAATGGTCAAGAATTACTCCTGACCGTTGTGCACGTCTGATCTGCAACTACAGGAAATGTTTGGTTGAAGTTATTGCTGCCAAAGGAGGTTCAACCAGTTATTAAATCCAAGGGTTCACATACTTTTTCCACCTGCACTGTGAATGTTTACATGGTGTGTTCAATAAAAACATGGCAACATTTCATTCTTTGTGTGTTATTAGTTTAAGCAGACTGTGATTGTCTATTGTTGTGACTTAGATGATGATCAGATCACATTTTATGACCAATTTGTGCAGAAATCCATATCATTCCAAAGGGTTCACATACTTTTTCTTGCAACTGTAGATCCATATCCTTAACCATAAAGTGCATCACAGTGGCCCAAAGGGTGTAAAGAAGTAAAAAAAAATTATATTTTATATATACCCTATGTTCTGTAGCAGGTATCACTGCAGGGATAAAAAACTTTCATAGGGCAATATAGTTTTAGTAATATGTGAATCAATCACAATTGGAGTCTTATAGTTATCACACTCACATTTTTCTAAGCCTGTCTATATAACTGGCTCAGGTAATTCAGCTTTTTGGTGTGATACTGGGATTCCACTGACGTGTTAGGAGTATCTTTATCTTCAATGATGAAAGATAGGATAGGCAAAACCAGTTAGAGTAAAAATAAGTAACATTTATTGCAAAGAAATATAAAAACCTTACATTAAGGTAACTGGTATGTCACAGTCCAAATTCACAGCAAGCACAACGCGTTTCAACACTCGTTCTGTGTCTTCCTCAGGTGCATAAATTACTGTATAAACTTCCTGCTTTTAAATATTTTTACCCTACCCAGACTTCACTTCATGGGGTAATTAAGTCGCTTTTTGTGTTTTGTCTGTTAGAGATACAGATTTTGGTTAATAGCATGTTGAGATTTGCAATTTTCATAATTTAATTTAACTTGAAATGACTTTGTCTTCATACCCTAAGATTGTTTCTTTAACTATAAACACCTTAGAATTGCATCAAGTTGTATTGTATATCTTAATTGAGACATTACTGATACACTTTACTATAAAATTATATGTTGCTTTACATCTGTACTTAAATCTCTACTTAGAAAAGATAGAGTTTATTCAAGAAGCTTATTGTAGCTTGCAATTCATAACTTGTCATTTTTGTTTAAAATTTTAAAATACACAGCTTAAACATATCTTTAGTAGGACGTAGACTGTAAAACTGTTAGGATTTAATGACAAATTAGTTCATCCATCTTTTAAATTGTACACTTTAGTCATTTGGAAAGATGATTGCTTTCACAATTAATTTCCAAGCTAATTTCTTAGTTAATGAGAATATATTCTCACCTATTATTCTGTAATTTGAGTTCCTGTGTAGAGTTGAGCGGACACTCGAACTTGACCCTGAACCCGAACCCCATTGAAGTCAATGGGGACCTGAACTTTTGGGCACAAAAATGGCTCTAAAAAAGTCCTGGATAGGGCTAGAGGGCTGCAAAAGGAAGTAAAATGGGGGTAAGAGTAGGAAAAGTGCCCTGCAAACAAATGTGGATAGGGAAATCATTTAAAATAATATAAAATACATAAAATAAGCAGCCGCTTAGCAGATAACTCCCTAATTCCCACTGTATGAGGGAGCTATCTACCAAAAGGCTGAAAGACCTAAATTGGTCTTTCAGCCACATTTACTAATACTAAGTAAAGATTACTTAATAGTAGTGAATTCAGCCCCTACTCGCTATACCGCGAGTAGGGGCGGGTCTAGTAAACAGTGAGCAGCCAGTGGCAGCTCACTGTAAAAAAACAAAACAAAAAACCTATTGCCCCCACCCCTGTGTGACGGGTGGGGGCCCTAAATAAGAATGTGGAGGGGGGGACCTACTGTATTCCCCTCCGGCCCTGGGGGCCATAAATAAGAATTTGAGGGGCCTACTGTCCTCCCCCCCGGCCCCTACCCCTGAGCGATGGGTGGGGGCCATAAATAAGAATTTGCGTGGGGGAACCAACTGTCCTCCCCCCTTCTCCCCCCCCGGCGCGGCGGGTGAGGGCCCTAAATAACAATAAGGGGTGGACCTACTGTCCTCCCCCGTGGCCCCCCAAAAAAATTTACTTACCATTTCATGTATTCTTTCTTCTAAACTCTTCTTTTTTTCAGCCCCAAAAAAGGCCAAATAGAAATTCATTAAAAAAAGACCAAAAAATAAATAAATCAATTTTCACCCATGCAGGGCTCCGACAAGACTGAGCTCTGCAGGGTGGGGGAAGGCTTAAAAAGCCTTGCTCCGCCCTGCAGTTAGGCTCAGAGCACTCTGATTGGTGGGTTTAAGTCATCCAATCAGAGTGCTCTGACAGGTAAATGAAGAGACTGACAGGTAAGTTGGCTTGAAATCCACCAATCAGAGTGCTCTGTGTCATTTTACACAGCGTGGGAAGGTTCTTTGGAATTTTCCCATGCTGTGTAATTTGACTCATAACACTCTGATTGGTTACCTAATCCACCAATCAGAGTGCCCTGTGTCATTTTACACAGTATGGGAAAATTCCAAAGAACTTTACCACGCTGTGTAAAATGACACAGAGCACTCTGATTGGCTGGATTTCAAGCTCACCAATCAGAGTGCCCTGTGTCATTTTACACAGCGTGGGAAAATTCCAAAGAACTTTACCACACTGTGTAAAATGACACAGAGCACTCTGATTGGCTGGATTTCAAGCTAACCAATCAGAGTGCTCCATGTTTAATTTTACACAGCATGGGAAAATTCCAAAGAACTTTCCCATGCTGTTTAAAATGACACAGAGCACTCTGATTGGCTGGATTTCAAGCTCACCAATCAGAGTGCCCTGTGTCATTTTACACAGCGTGGGAAAATTCCAAAGAACTTTACCACACTGTGTAAAATGACACAGAGCACTCTGATTGGCTGGATTTCAAGCTAACCAATCAGAGTGCTCCATGTTTAATTTTACACAGCATGGGAAAATTCCAAAGAACTTTCCCACGCTGTGTAAAATGACACAGAGCACTCTGATAGATGGATTTCAAGCCCCCACCCGCCGCTCTGGGATGGGGACCGGGGGGGCAATAGGTCCTCTCTTTAGTTTAAAAGCCACCATTCGCGCATCGCGCATGGGGGCTCATGAGGGGGGAATTTATTTTTTTTCAACAGTGAGCTGCTCACTGTTTAATAGACATTCCACTACTAGCTGGGTCACATGCTGCACTGGCCAATCACAGCCATGCCATTAGTAGGCATGGCTGTGATGGCTTCTAAGGGCACACGAGTCAAATGCTTGTTGATGCCTGCTGTGCAGCCTTTCGAAACGCGTCATTAAATTGCCGAACACTGAACTCCAACCTGAACATACAGTGATATGTCCGTGTTCAGGTCCGGGGTCCAAAAACCGTAATGTTCGGTACGAACCCGAACTTTTAAGTACGGGTTCGCTCAACTCTATTCCTGTGTAATTCAATGAATTCATCTTAGAATAACCAAGTAGGGGGGAGAGGTGACCAGGTAGAACCTTGGAAGGAAGCTTGAGGTCCTAGCCTCAGGTGTTTAGCACCTGAGGTTGGTTCGGTAGCACTGGCAAAGGGTGGTTTTTTTTGCCGTTTGGGCAGGAGTGTGATATTGTCTGATGTGAATTGCCGGGAGGATTTGGCATCTTCCAGGATGGAATTCAGTGCTTTCAACAGCTTTGGAAGTAGCTCCACACAGAATGTCTTGTAATATGACAGGGGCAGGCCGTCCAGTCCCGGCAATTTACCATTCTGTGATGTTTTGATTGCATAGGCTAGTTCCTCCTCAGAGATGGGTGCATCCAGGGTTTCCAAATCATGGTAGGTTTCGAATGTGAGGTATTGTTGAATCTCCGCAGCCTTGGTCATTGGGTCTCGTGGTCGGCCTGCCTCTATGTTGTCTAACGATTGTTAATATTGTAGGAATATCAGCAAAATCTTGTCTGGGAAGTGGTGTAAATGTTGTGTGGGGTCTTTGGTCTTCGGTATGTATAGTTGAGTTCTTTTGTGTCTGATTAGTGTGGCCAGGAGGTGCCCACATTTGTTGCCATGTTCATGTACAAAATGCTGGTAGGAACGTTGAACTGATTGATTGAGTAGAACCATAAGTTTGCCCCTCTTCAGGTGAAGATCCCTGTATAAAGCGTGAAGATCCCTGCAGCGTGCGTTTATGTCGTCGCTCTAGTTCAGCTATGTCCCTACCCACGATGAAAATCTCCTAAGTTGTTGCCCGCTTCCTGGCTAAGCATCGGGCTATGAGGTGGCAGCGGATCACCGTTGGAGTCCGGGGTTTCATTGATCGCGAAGTAATCCATAAGTGCCTATCCTATTTCTTGCACCAGCGTTCGGTCCCTGGCGTGGGCGGAAGAGCAGTGCTGGCAATCGAAGGTGTAGTGGGTCCGACCACATCTTCAGGAGGATGTCTGAGCCTTTCAGCAGACTGAGGGAAGAGTGTGGCATAAAAAAGTAATCGAGTCTCGTGCAGATGTTGTGGGTTGTAAAGTAAAATGTATAGTTGAGCATCGTCAGGTTGATGTCAGGATTACAGAATGATCCAGCACGTAGAATTGTGTAACACAGAGGACTGATAGGTAACGTATACCGGACCTTAGAATGGCCGGACTAACGTACCAAAGAATAGTCAGGAATAGCCGAGGTCAAGGGATACAGAAAGAGACACAATGATAAGGAAAAGCCAGGAGTCAGGGATGCCAGAAAACAGGGAAGTCAAAAATAATGCCAAAGTCAAATAACCAGAATAACCAAAATCAATAACGCGCTCTCAGACAACCACAAGGGAAACCACGACAGGGCACTGAGCAGGATGAGAACTGGGCCTAAATACCCCTCTTCTAGATCTGATAGGCTGTAACCGGCCTTTGACCCTAAAGGCAGTTACCAGGTTCCCATTTGCATAATTGCTGCTCAGCATTAACCCTTCTGTGGATTTGGTTGCTGCTCAGCACAACTTTTCATGTGTGGACAGTAAATGCCATTAACCACATTTTTATAAGAGGATAAATACGTGACAGTTGAGTGCTCTCCAACAATCTGTGAGTTAGTGAGCATGAAGGAGCTGCAGTGTTTTAGCAGGTCTGGTTGTTTGTGGCGTGTGTTGTGTAGTAGAGGTATCTGTTTCTGGTTGGAGGGTCAGATTAAAATCACCTCCAATTACTACCATCTCATTCATGTGATCCGAGAGTTTACCTAGTGTCCTTTGGAGGAATTGGTGCTGTCTTGAGTTTTGGATGTAGCGGTTCACAAATCTGTACAACTCGGAATGGATGGTGCCCTGGACTAGCAAGGGGGTCCTTTTGAACCTCCAGGATTGGAAGCTGGATCCTCCTGGAGATCAGTATACATACAGTTCAGGTCTTCCGTTCTGGATTGTTGCTGAATATCCCGATCGGGAAGTGGTGATCCTTCAGGGAGGGTTCTCTGCGTCTCTTGGATAAATGCGACTGCCGTTCGGAACCTTTTTAGGTCTCTTGGTAGGCGGGTTTGTTTCTCTCTTCTTGTGCATTGTTGGAACCACCTCTCAGTTGCATGGTGGTGGAGGTGTAGGAATGGTTTCCTGCTCCTGAGGTGTGGGGGAGGGAGAGGAATGGGTAGCAAAGAGAGGAAGTTTGGATGGGTTAAGGTAAAGAAGAATGAAATATTTGAACCCTTGTTACTGAGGGTAGGGTTAGTGCTGTCCTGGCGTCATGCCATTAGCGTCCTGCTCCCCCCGTGGAGAAGCCCCAGTCCTTAGCTGGTGTGGGGGCCGCAAAGCAGTGCCGCCGTCCAGGGGAACAACCCTCTGGTATCAGTGGTGGCACCCCAGCTGTGGTGCTATGTCTGTGGAAGCACCACAACAGGAATTAATCGCAAGTGAGTAGTCAAATAAGCAGTCAAACTTTGGGAGTTAGTCAACTCGTGGCAAGAAAAAATTTGGTGGCCTATCAGCCGATGCGGGAAAAACATTCTGGAATTAGAGCAGAGCTATCTGGGGTTCGGGATCAAGCCATCCCTAAATCCTTGAGCTGTCCAATGGACTGGGGAATTAGATGCCTGTCAGAGTCTTGTTCCCAGGGCACGGGGTAAACACCAGTTTCCTCTCTCCTTTTCGCTGCATAATTCACTCAGGATCATGAACCTTAATTCACTCAGGATCATGAACGGTTGGTCTCTCTGTCAGGAGTACAAATGTACATACTTCACATAAACAGAGCCTTTTAAAGTATTTTAACTCGGTCTATTGCAGGGGCCATAGTCACAGGCTAGGAGGCTGGCAAACAGGCCCCTCCATAAACCAGTGGCATTTAATTTTACTTAATTAAATGTATGCATGTTTTTATTGGGGGTATATTATATTACAATAGGAGTGTAGTGGAGCTCCCTGTACCCTGACTGCGTACCTCTGCAAAGGATCGCTTCCTAGCTGGAACCAGGAAAAAACCTCAGCGCTTCTGTCCCAGTTGCTGTGGCTTGACTGGGGTCCTCCTGGAGCCTCTCCATCCTGAAACATGATAGCAGACTAGCTCTATTCCCACCCAGGGACAGGATGACACACAGTCTTGGAAACTCTTGGTAGTGCTCTGCTGAGCAGTGATTAGCTCTTTCCCCTCCCAGTAACTAGACGAGACATAGTTCTGGGAGTACAACTGGTTTTAATGAGCTAAACTCTGCCTTTTATGCACAGACCCCAGCAAGGGGTCTCAAAACAATACAATGCAAGCCCATCCCAGGAATCTCTGGGCCTGGGAGATCATTGACTAAAAAAATGGTAAGCTAGTTATCTCCCAGGAACAGAGAGTCCCACACAAAAAACATAAAAACATAAAAGTACCCAAAACATCATAAAAACATATAATAACCTCACATGACATACATCCCCAAACAGCCCTGGTCTGAGTGCCAAAATAGTGCCCAAATAGTGCTTAGATCTATGCAGTACAGGGGGAACGCCATTGTGTTAAAATTCTGACCAGCCTCACACGTGGTCCTAGCCCAAAATAATTCCAGAGCGTTTGGTGCTTTTGTCGGTCAACTTTCAGGAGCTCCTGCCTCCGAAATACGGTGTCCTCCACCTAGTTCTCAGGGAGCGTTTGTTCCCCTTAGTCTCAGATACCTTCCCTCTAAAAAGCACTCTATTGGTGGGTCGCAAAGTGGTTCAAAACCCCAGACTAAGTTGTCAGTTAACCGCAAGATCACCTAGCCGAATATAGTTCCATGACATTCACAGCTAGGTACCGATGAGGTGACCGGGAACCACAAGGTCCTCATGCCAACATTAGTTCCATAGCGGTCATGGCTAAGTACCGCTGAGGACCATTCATGTTTTTTTTTCATGCGAACAGCCACCAGTGAGCTAGCATTTGGTTCAATTCGAGAGAAGGGAAACTGCCAAACCAGGGGCACAGAGGGAAAGCTGCTAATGGCGACTGGGCAGGGTAACTGTCGAATGGGGTCTCCGGCCTAGACCATTGTTGGTGGGCAGGAGGCCAGCTTCCACACTCTTCCAGGAGTTTGTGACAAATGACGTAGAAAAGAGCGTTTGACACAAGGAGCATTGGTGGTTAGAATGTATCACAGATCTACTTCATTTTTTCCAATACAGACAAGTTTTAATCAGTTACTGTGCCCTCTTTTATTGTCTGAAGGCATTGTGTTACATTTAATCAGATGAGCTAACAGTGGATGCTACATGTCTTCTATTGAATAAAGCCTCTCTCCCAGTGGAGAACCAAATTAAAGGAACACATCAACAGTTCTTTAGTTTAGAAAAAGATATAATTATATTTGTGACTTAATCTCCTCCTTCCTTGTTCTTACCCCTTTTCCCCCCTTATTTTATATACGTATACCAACTGATTATACTTCTATTACACTTATAATTGACTAACAATGTCAGAGAACATGTCTATTCTGCTTATTTCTGCCTATTCTACTTCCATTTATGTTCACAGTTCATGAATAATTTGCCTTGTTCATAATGAACAGGTCTCAGTTCAGAAATATACATTTAGTTAGAGCTCCACTTAATTATCTCTGTATCTCCTATAGCAAGTTTTGCCACGTACCTTTCACTTTAAATTTTAAAATAAATCTTAAAAAGGAGGATTTTCAATTCCTGTGGAACTAGGAGAGCAATTTTTCATCAATCTGAGCTGATATGATTTAAAACAACCTGGTTTCTTAATGTTCCAAACCTAATTAGTAAAATAATACATTTACAGCAATTAAAATTATGCATTTATTTGGTTAAAAGAGTATCAATTGGATGTAATATGTTTTACTTCAATATTTAAAAAGGTTACATTAATTTGAATAGCTAAATTTATATATATATATATATATATATATATATATATATATATATATAAAATGTATTTTATTATTATTTATTTATTTAATTAAACTTTTTTCAGTTTTACAAGTTGGGATTAGTTATTTTTTACAGATGCAAGCAGTAACTTGTGAAGTAGTAGACGAAGTGTCACAGAATAATCACTTTCTCACTCTTGTGTCTGCCTCGCACGTTTCCTTATTATCATGCTGTTACACTTTTTTTTTACTTTGAAATGCATAGTGCTACAGGCTCAGAAAAGTGTATTTGTAGAAAAGTTATAATTAGAAACTCTGTTTTATCTATCTGCTGTCAATGAAAAAAGAAACTGATATGAAGTTTCAATGTGCTCTTGAGATATTTGAAACCAACTTTACAATTTTTTCTATAAATATTCCGTACAATAGCTGCTAAATGTGTTCCTTTGTTTAGTTGACTCATTGCTATTCCTCAATATTATTACATTTTATAGCTATATAGGTCTTTGAACCCTTGAAATACCAGCTAATAAGTATAGATGGGTGAATGTTTGTACAGACGA